CAAATGGCCATGATGAAATAGTAGGATGCAATTTTGATGGTGGAATGTGACTTAAGTCTCCATGAATCTGACATTTGAAACACTTTTTTATAAAAGAAATACAATTCCTTTCTATTGTCGACCAAAAAAATCATTGTTTAAGATCTTCTTTGCTAAAGTTTTTCCTCTCATGTGGGTGCTGCAAATTCTCGCGTGGATCTGTTCCATTATTTTCTCAGCTTCTTTCATCAATACGCCTCTCAACAATACCCCATCTAGCATTCTCTTGTAAAGCTGACTATCTAGTACTGTAAACTATAATGTCAATTGCAGAATATGGATATGTCATACAAAATGCTCGTTTGTCATCTCTAGTAGTTAATTCGGGATAAACCCTTTTGGTCATTAATTGCATGGAACCATGGCTCATCATCTTCCTCAATATCCATAATCTATTCTTCTTCATAACACGGGATGCTACCAAAGACGTTATAAAATGCTTTTTTGGCATAGAAAATTTTTCTTTCCATGCTGATGCTAGATTTGCTAAAGCGTCTGTCATAGATGATTCTACAGAATCGGCTATCCATCCTTAACCACTTAATGTCTTCAGATGTCTTATCTTTTCTCGGCGCTATGTTAACTGTACAAAATAAAGGTTAGAAAATAATGATATGATGTATGTATGCATGAATACGGGCATATCATACAAAATGCAATCATATAACTCAACATCATAAAATGCAACTAATGTTATATTCTATCACAACCTGTTCGGGACTATTCAAGTGAAGACTAGAGAAAGGCTCTTAAGAAATGAAAGAATCAAATGCACCTTATTGTGTAGCCAAATATCGAAAATGTCTCTTTTTCTTCATTTTTGTTTCCTTTTCTTTTTGCCTTAAACAGAATTTGAGCAAGCTTTTATTTATATACATTTGAGATTTCTTTTCTTTTGACTTTGTCTTTTGAATTTTTTTTTTTTTCTTTTTCTTTTTAAGGACATTAGAAATATTTGGCTCAAAAGCAACAAATTTTTAACAGTCAAAGCAACAAATTCTTGATAGCCAAAAGCAATTAAAACTAAACATATATATAGTCGTATAATAGGACAAATTCCTAATTAGAATAGAATTAAATTTATAATATTAACATAATAAAAATAAAAAATTGATATCACGATGAGAATAGGATTAGTAATGATATTTTTGTCAATTGATAAACTTAACAGGGTTATTTTAGGAACCCGATGTTTTCCCCTCATTCGTACTTTTATATATACTAGTCTTTTGTATGACATGTTTTGCACGTTGTCTATGCTCGTTATATATTTATACTCTTTTAATTTTTTTTAATCTATATAATATTAAAACATAAGTTCTTGTTTAGATTAAAATAAATACAGTTGCTTAATTTGTGTTGGAGTTTGTCATACAAGCTACTTCTTATGTACTTAATTGTATTTTATTTATAATGAAGTGGTCTCAAAATAAAATTCAACCCAATCTCTAGACCTAAACCTTTAGTCTCTAATTTATAAATGAAGATTCTTAAAACCTTAATAAGTGCCCAAAACGAAAATCAAGTCATCACTCAATCTCCAACCTCCTGTCCTCAACCCCAAATCGATGTACAACTATAATGAAAAATAATAATGAATTACTTTTTACTGCTTGGTAAAGAAAACAAATAAGCAGATGATCTGAATTGATAATGTTAATTACTTTGGCTATACTGACAATATTTCTTATCCAGTGCATTATTGAAAGAAATATATGCATATACATATAAATTCTTAAAACCCAAAAAATGACCTAAAACAGAAATATAGTCTAATTTTTTTTCAATTTTATAAACACTATTTTCTTTCAAGTCAAATAAATTTAGAATATAATAGAAAAAATCTTAAGAAAATTAAAAATATTTAATTATCAAGAGGTCATCTATTTATTGCAAGGGAGATATAAATCTCTTACTAAATTAAAGTAATAATAGTTAGAAATTAATTCAGTAATGAAAAAAATAAAAAAAAAATTATGATTACAAATAAAACTCTTTTGAGACTCAACATATAATAAGAAACAAATTATATTAAAAAAATTTGAATTTCAAAAATCAACCCCATGTTTAACTAAAAATGTTGTAATTTAACAATATTTGATGTTGATAGATAAAAAAATAAAAATAAAAAAAGAAGAAAAGGTTATAGTCAAGTCAATAAATGAAAATTACAAAACAAATAATGTTAAGATCTATGAATAAATATGACAATTAATTAATAAAAAAGAACGTTTTATCCTCGCCAAATAAACCTTCAATTTTTTTTCTACAATCATACAAAAAAAAAGAAGAGTATACTTTTGTCTTTTTTATTATCTATATATATATTTAAAAAATAATTTTTAAAAATTATATTAAATCAAATAATAAAATATAATTTTCCTTTTTTTTTTTTTTTCTTAACCTGATATCCGAGCTCATTGGACTAAAACTAAATCCTGCTCGCATTGAGTCAGCCTAAGAAAGGGAAGGAGGGGTAAAGTGCTCCCAGCGACTAAATCCTGCTCGCATTGAGTCAGCCTAAGAAAGGGAAGGAGGGGTAAAGTGCTCCCAGCGACTAAATCCTGCTCGCATTGAGTCAGCCTAAGAAAGGGAAGGAGGGGTAAAGTAGGGAAGGAGGGGTAAAGTGCTCCCAGCGACTAAATCCTGCTCGCATTGAGTCAGCCTAAGAAAGGGAAGGAGGGGTAAAGTGCTCCCAGCGAGTATTTGCTCCATCCTTAGGAGGGGTAAAGTGCTCTCAGCGAATATTTGCTTCATCTATGAGGATTAAATCCTCGACCCACTTAAAGAAGGAGAGTATCGAACCACTCATCCAACACTTGTTGGTATAAAATATAATTTTTGAATTGGCTACGACTGACGCTATTTTATGATATTTTAAATTTCATTAAGGACTATATCAAAAATTTCATAATTCCCTTAGAATATAGAATATATAATATATAATAGGACAACCAGCTTATCCCCAGTTAGAACTCAGCTAATTTATTGCTCTAATTATAACATTTATAATCGGTCAATATTGTAGTACCAGCTAGCTAGCAGCAGTAATAGCTAAACGTATGTATTACGTAATATATGAATTATATTGATAAACTGATAGTTGTTGGAAATGTGGGGACCTATACTATACACTTGTCTCTGTTTGGCTTAAATTATATCTGCATAATCTAAAAGATTAATGCCATTCTTTGAGGATAACGTAAATTTGGATTTGTATTAGGAAAATGACCAAAAGCCCATTCTTTATTTGACATCACTTATACTTTATTTATTAATTTATTAATATAATTCCGTTAAGTTATGTATTTTCTCATTATAATATGCGTTTGGTAGTTGAGTGTATGGTCAACACAAAGTGACCCATTGCAATAATTGGAATTGGTTTCATTGGTGTAATTTTATTAATTATGTAATCCATAATAAACAAGTTGAATACCCAAAATAAAATTAACGGTCAAACAAAAGTGACATCCAAACCTATAAAATAATTAATATTTCATTGGTGTAATTTTCTAAAATGCCTTCGATTGAGCACTTGAATTTTGTGGTAAAATATTTTATAATATTTCATAAATATTCCTAAAAGATAATTATTTTTTGTAAAAGAGTTTTTACAAAATAATATATGTTTTTGTTAATATTTTGTAGTATTTTATAAAAGATGGATGCTTGTTTAATAAGTGACGCTTATTATGTATAGTTATAAATATTTTTTTAAAATGTAACTATTTTTTGTAAAATTATCAAACCTATAAAATAATAGTTCCAATTATCAATATTTTAAAATAATTTCTAATAATTTGCAAAAAGTAATTGTTAGATTAAAAAATAATAGCTCTTTTGCAATTATTTTATAAAATTTCCTAACTATATGTAAAAAGTGATTTTTTCTTATAACGTTGCCAGTTTACAAAATAATATGTCTTCTAACTAATATTTTTTAATACTTTCTAATACTTGAAAGTGGTTGTTTTTTATAAAATTGTCCTATAATAGATTCAACTGTCAATATTATATTGTAAGAAATAGTTATTTTTTATATAAAAAGTTGGTAATTTGCAAAATAATAGATCTAGTTGTGAATATTTTGTAATATTTTCAAATACTTTATAAAATTGTCTAATTAGTTCCTATTGCCATTATTTTTTAGTATTTTCTAATAATTTGTTAAAGGTAATTTTTTTAAAAAAAATTGATTATTTAGAAAACTGTAGTTCTACTTGTCAATGTTTTATTGGAAGAAGGTTCAAAATGCCCCCTACCCTAAACTTGGCTCGAACATGGGTTTCGCCCATAATTCATCTTTTTAGGCAATAATCTCATCACCTTGTGCATAAACTTTCAAATTACCTAATTTCTAAAGTGGTCAGCGCGCGTGTATTATAGTCCATAGCAAATGTGAGCGAGCTGTAAAAACAATAAAATTTTTGCATTTGGTGCACCACTTAAACAGCTGCGAACGACCTTCCGTAGGTAAAATTCCCTCTCAAATTATATAGGGGTTACCAACGTTTACATGGCAGATTAGTTTGAAGACAAATTCTACATAAAACACGAAATTGCTTTTGTTAAATGCTGTGGATTATATTACAATAGATCTTATCAAAATCAAAGCTACAGAGAACCGCTAATTTTTTCAGGTATGCTTTATTTAACAAAGTGAAATTCTGTGCTTTTTTTCAGATTTTTTTAGTTGCTTGTCAATGCAAAGCTTAATTTTGCAAAGTGGAAATCTGTCTTTGTTTTCTAGATTTGTTTTAGTTGCTTGTTGATGCAACTGTTAAACCTGTCAATGTCAATAGTTTATGGGTAAAGGGTATATGTCTGGTGGTATGGGTAAAGGGTAAAGCGTAAATTCCTCTGTCAAATTTTTATGACTCTTACTGTATTCAATTTTATATTCTTGGTTGTGGGGTTTATGTCACTGTTGTGGTCCACCACAGGCGTTCGTTTACTCAGTTGGCTAATGGGAAAATGAGATATCAAGAAGGGGTGGTAGAAGAGTTCAATATTAATGATATTGATTTTGTTAACTACAACAGAATTTGCAACTTTGTGGGAAAGTTAGGATATGGGGGAAACCATCAAATTCATTGGTTGCCAAAGGGAAATAGAGTGCAAGATGGTATCGTGCATCAGATGTTGCTGTCAAATTATGATCCTGGAGATTTCATACATTTATAAGTAGAGCACTTAATTGACATACCCGAAATTGTGACTGACATTCAGCTATTGCCTACAAATAATGATCCAAATATACAACCAACAGTCAATGAAGGTGGAAACCAGTCATTTAGGAATACTTTAGTAAATATTGGTATTGAGATTGGCTCTGGTGATCAATACGAGGAGGTTGAAGTGGATCCTGATTATCAGTAAGACATAGATAATGAAGAACTTAGAGCTGCTAGAGAAAAGGTAAAAGAATTTTATGCAAATCAACATAATACAGCAGCTGACGATGAAGAGAGTAGTGATGGAGATGAAGTTGAAGTTCATGAAGAAAATGGTAATGATGGAGGGGCAGAAGAGGATGATCAGGAACCTGAAGAAGTTTCAGCCGATGAACTCTGGAATGGTGATACAGAAGCAGTTGGTAATGAAGGGGAAGTTCATGAGGATGATGACAACGTGAGCATAGAAGAACTATCAGGGGAAGAGGGACAATACAATGTGATTAGAAAAAAGAAAAAGAGAGTTGTATATGATCCTAAGTGCAATGTGCCTTCATTTGTTGTGGGTATGGTGTTTCTTAATGCTCAGGAATTTAAATATGCTTGCACAAAGTATGCAATTCATAGGGGAGTTGAAATTCACTTTGGAAGGAATGAAGCTCACAGGGTTAGAGCAACATGTACATTTCGGGGCTGCCCCTGGATGCTATTTGCATCAAGAGACTCTACCAACAAGGACTTTCTCATCAAAACTTACAACCATCAACATAGGTGTTTTAGAGTTTTTAGGAACAAAAGGGTTAAAACACCATTTCTTGTTGAATATTTTAGACCGATATTGAGACAATATCCAAAAGCAACTGTGAAACAAATGATTGAGCAAGCTAAGAACAACTTGAAAGCAAATGTTGCATGTGGTATGGCTAGGACGGTGAAGAAAAAATTAAAAGTCGAGGTTGAGGGAGATTACATATTAGAGTATGGAGGGTTAGAGGATTACGCTGAAGAATTAAGATTGAGCAATCCTGAAAGTAACATTATAGTTTGTTCTAATGCAGGAACCAAAAGGTTTGAAGGCTTTTATGGTTATTTTGATGCATTAAAAAGGGGGTGGAAGGCTGGTTAGACCAGTCGTTGGGGAAGACGGGTGTTTTCTTAAAACCTTTTGTAAAGGAGAGTTACTCACTGCAATAGGAAGGGATGCTAATTAACAAGAAGTCCCCATTGCATGGGCAGTAGTTAGAATAAAGAATGGAAAAACTTGGACTTGGTTCCTACTTCTATTAACAGAGGACTTGGGATTAGATTCATATAAAGATATTGTAATAATTTCAGATATGCAGAAGATAAGTTCACTTTTTGTTTTTTTAATTAATTTCCTTCTGGCTTTAAATGGTTTATTGATTTACTTATGTTTTATGAACTGTTATATCCAGGGGTTAATTGATGCTGTCAAGAGGAAAAATTCCACATGCAGAGCATAGGTGGTGTGCAATGCATATTTATAGTAGATGGCAAAAGAAGTGGAAGGGGTCAGAGTTAAGAAAACAATTTTGGATTTATGCTAAAAGTACCTATTGGTAGGAATTTGAGGACAAGTTGAAGGAAATGGATGGCTTAGCATCAGGTTCAGTGAAGGATTTGTTAAATTGGCCCCCTCCTAAGTGGTGTAGAGCATACTTTTCAACAGCAAGCAAATGTGACATGGTGGATAATAACATATGTGAGAGTTTCAATGGCAATATATTCTCAGCTAGGACAAAGCATATTATTACAATGCTTAAGAGATTAGAATCATGCTAATGAACAGGATTGTTGAGAGGAGGAAAGATGCAACTAAATGGGTTACCAACATTGCTCCTGTTTCAATTGAAAAACTTGAAAGGAATATGCTTCGGGCTTGCAACTGTCATGTAGAATACAATGGGGATGATGGCTATGAAATCTCTGAGGAAAAAGACAGACATACAGTAGATATAGTAAAGAGATCTTGTAGCTGCAGGTCTTGGGACATCTCAGGAATCCCATGTCCTCATTGCATATGTGTTGTATATCATAAGAAGGGCAACATTTTGGATTATATTGATGGATGGTATAGCAAGAAGAAATTTCTCTTAGCATACAATTACACTTTGCAACTTTTTAGTGGAAGGTTATTATGGCCTAGAATAGGAAGAGGTCCAATTTTGCCTCCTGAATCAAAGAAAATGCCAGGAAGACCAAAGAGAAATAGAGTACAGGATCTTGAAGAGCCTAAAAAGTGTGTTAAAAGATCAAGAAGATGTGTGCAAATGACATGTTCATTATGCAAGTGCAAGGGACACAACAAAAGTGGTTGCAAAAATAAGGGCATGAACAATGAGGAGGTAATAAATTATTTTTATTTTATTTAAAATATTTTATTACCTTAATTTATGAAATTCATTAAATTTTAGTTATTAATAGTGTTTTTGAATGGAATTTTTTGATATAGATCAATCAAGGTTTGCAAAATGAAGATCCTCATTTGGATGCTACTATTAGAGATTTTGCCCCATTCTTGTTTGATTCACATCTAGTTGGAGGGACTAACTCAGCTGGAAATATAAATAAATTTAATTAATTTTTATTTTTGTCCTTTATAGTGTTCTTCAATTTTGATTGGTTAACTTGGTTGCTTGTATGAGCAGAGGTCAAGGAAGTCAGTTCCTATGACAGCACCATCAAGACCTGTTGGAGGCATTAGAATTGAAGAACCAGTAGCTGAAAATGATGTGAGATCAAGTCAAGCTTCAAGTGATAATGCAAACCATGGGAAAGGAAAGGGCAAAGCAAGACCACTTTTTACATCAAAACGAAAAGTAAGAAAAATACTATATTTGGAATGGGGCTCTACTATGATGAAGTTTCAGGCAGTGTTAAATGGAATGTAAGTATTTTTTTTTTTTTTATGTTCATCATTTATATCCAATAATATAAATTTATTCAAGTGGGTGTGTTGAAACTTGATATAGTGTACGATTGGATGGTACTGGTTCAATAACACTGTTATTTTAGCTTTTTACATCTATTTTTTATGTAGCAGTTCTTACAGATATCACAAGGTTTCATTGATTGTAAACTTAGAATTGTTCTCAGCTTGCTGCATTAGTTAAGAACTAGAAACTAGTTCTAGTCATATAAAAATTTGTTACGTGGTATAGTGTTAGCAGTCAACTGAAGGTCTACACACGCAGGCCTAAGCCCCCACATATTGAGCTGTTGAATTAGTCATTCAAATTCTGTTTTGCATTTCTGTTTATTTCCTGTTATGTAGGAGGTAGTTCCTCCACTTTCTTTATTCATAGCAGTGTTAAATGGATATGTAAGTATTTTTTTTTTTTTTAATGTTTCATCATTTATATTCCAATATATAAATTATTCAATGTGGGGTGTTGAAACTTGATATGTGTTACGATTGGATGGTACTGGTTCATATCACTGTTATTTTAGCTTTTGTACATCTATTTTTTAGTAGCAAGTTCTTACAGATATCCAACAAGGGTTTCATTTGATTGTAAACTTCTAGGAATTGTTCTCAGCTTGCTTGCATTAGTTAGCAACTAGAAACTTAGTTCTAGTCATATAAAAAATTTGTTACGTGGTACAGTGTTAGCAGTCAACTGGAAAGTTCTACACACGCAGGCTAAGCCCCCAATATTGAGCTGTTGAATTAGTCATTCAAATTTCTGTTTGCATTTCTGTTTATTTCCTGTATGTAGGAGAGTTAGTTTCCTCCACTTGACTTTATTCATGCCAGTAGTGGGATGGGTGTCTCCACTTAGATTATGGCTCCCTTGATTGTAGGGAAAGTTAGTCTGCTATTTGTGTATATATTCAGCAGAACTTCACATGAAATAAAGGATATGATTAAACCCAATTAATGTTCTTTGTAAGGTCGCAAGTCTTCCCTTTGACGGAATTCTGTATATGATTTCTGAACTTCCACCATAGGTCGTTCAAGGAAAACCCTAGCCTAACACCCAAACACCAACACCCAAACACCAACTTCCAACCGACCCATAACTCGATCCATAAGTAGGGACTCTACCATTTTGGTATCAGAGCCTACCGTTATGGGCGACTCCGTTCAGGATCAACTTTTCAAACTATTTGAATTGCTTTTGGCAGAGCAACGTGCTAATCAGGAACTTCGCGACCAAGTTAAAAACCTCACTAAAGAATGGGAATCCAACAAACAGCAATTCCAATCCAGCAATCCTGGGACCCCCCTCAGGTCCAGCAAAGACAAGGGCGTTTCAGGACCCCATGTTTCGGAAAGATCCGGCAGCAGCTTCATCGTTCCAAAAATCGTTTCCCAAACTTTTACAAAATTGAGATTTTCCCCGTTATGACTGCAGCAAGGACAGCATCCCCTCCCGCTGGCTTCAATAGATGCAAACATTTTTTCCTACCGACACCATCCCAAAACAGGGAAGCCAAGACGAATGGTGAGCCTTCAGACATCTTACATCACTGGATCGCGAATTCGCACAGCTGTGGTAAACTCCACGGCAAACTGCCGGCTTGCATCTTCCAAATCCATCCTGGGCAAGCCCAGCTTTCGCACAAGTGAATCTCACATTTGGTCACCCCCCAATTCGCAACAACAATTGGGCAACACCCTGGCTAACCATTAAAAACAAATCAGGCTTCTGTGACTCCCTAGATTACTCCAGAACCAATTTGAAGCTTCTTATTTCCACAAGCTGTTGGTACCCTCACCCAATTTAAAGTGCAGCCTCTATTACCGCGGCGCTTGCAGGCCCTCAAACAACATCTATGAACGGACTATTCTCCCCGCCCTCGTTCTATCCTCGCTACGAGATTCTCGCGCACCGCCATTTTTCCATAGGATCTCTGCCTATCGACACGCTCGTAAAGAACTCCTTCGCCCAGAAGACACACCTGCTGACCGACCCTCGCGCGCACGTGCTTTGCTATCAACTGTGTTGAACCAGCTTACGCATACCCGACGGGGTCATAACAATTGCAACAACAAATTATTCTTGGATTGAAGATGGAGTTATCGGAGTGGCGCGAACTGATTCCTCCAGTCGCTGAACCCACGAGATCTTTCCTTAATGACACACATCACTGACAGTTCGACCAGCCCCCCCAGTCTATGAATTGTTGGCTTCCTGGTTAAACAAGTCACGGTTCTATCCCTGACCATTGAATTCGGGCAAGACACAACCAGCTTTTCTACAGCAAAGGTCGCAGAATTGAATGCCAATTTCGATTGCCAAAATGGGCTTCGGGTTCATGTGGCCAACAGGGAGGAACTGTCGAGCCCAGGTATCTGTTTAGGCACACCAATTACGCTGGACTCTAACTCCTTTTTGGTTGATTTTTTTGTATTACCCTTAACCTCTTTTGATATGGTTTTGGGGGTTAATTGGCTCCGCACTTTGGGCCCTATACTATGGGATTTTGCGACTATGTGTATGAGTTTTTTTCAGCAGGGGCACTTGATCGAATTAAAGGGCATCTCCTCATATGGTTCTTCATACAGTTCTAACCTCCACAGATCATACAGTTCTAAACTCCACAGTGTCAGCTCTACTCTGATCAGAGAATCATCGCAGCAATTATTAGCACGAATTTAAGCTCTCCTTTCAACGCCCCAACTGGTTGCCTCCATCTAGATTGTTGCGACCCACAGACATCCTTTCTTTCCGGAACGAGGGCCAGTTGATTGTTTACCGCACATCATCGTTACCCACATGGCCAGAAGGACGAGATTCGAAACACAGTGTTGCAGCCCTAGCTTCAGCAGAGGCATAACCGCCGAGCCACTCTACCTTTCTCTAATCAACCTGTGATTTTCGGTTCCCAAGGCTAATGAGTTCTTGGCGGCTTATATTGTCCCTTATAGAGAACTTAATACGCCAAAACCATTTAAACGATAAGTATCCCCAATACCAGTGGTTGCATGAAGTGGTTGATGAATTGTTGGAAGAGTTGGGTGGTGCTAAGATCTTCACAAAACTAGACCTGCTATCTGGTTACTTTCAAGTGCGCATGCAACATTCTGATGTGGAAAAGACAGCTTTCCGAACTCATCATGGGCACTTTGAATTCCTCGTCATGCCATTTGGCTTGTCAAACGCCCCCTCCACATTTCAGGCTTTGATGAATGAGGTATTCCGTGCTTACTTGTGAAAGTTTGTACTTGTTTTTTTTTTTATGATATTCTGGTCTACAGTCAATCATGGACGGAGCACCTCCACCATCTACGCCTGGTTTTTCAATTGCTACTGAAGAACAGTTTATGCCTCAAAAAATCCAAGTGTTTCTTTGGCCAATCTCAAATATCTTACTTGGGGCACATAATTTCTTCCCACGGCGTCCAGGTGGATCATTCAAAGATTTCTGCTGTATTGGAGTGGCCAAAACCAAATTCTCTTCGCGGTTTGCGGCGGTTTGCGTCAGTTTCTTAGTGGCTGTCGGGGTACTACAGAAAGATTTTACAGAAAATTTGTACAGGATTATGGCATTATTGCAGCCCCTCTCACTTCAATGCTGAAAAAGAACAATTTCAAATGGACTGACCAGGCCGTCCAAGCATTTGAGAAATTAAAATAGGCGTTAACATCCACGCCAATTTTGGCTTTGCCTAATTTTGATCTCACTTTTGTTGTCGAGTGTGATGCTTCAGGAACAGGGGTTGGAACGGTTCTCTCACAGTCCAACAAACCAGTAGCTTTTTTCAGTCGCTCCTTAGCAGGCCGCCATCAAAACCTTCTGGCTTACGAAAGGGAGCTAATTGGACTGGTTAAAGCCATCAAACACTGGCACTCCTACTTGTGGGGACGCAACTTTGTCGTCCGTACTGATCACTTTACACTCAAATATTTATTGGAGCAACGTCATCTTTCAGCTGCGCAACAACATTGGATAAGCAAACTACTGGGATTTTCTTTTTCCGTCGAATACAGAACAGGAAAGACCAACATTGTGACCGATGCCCTTTCACGCCGAGATGCGGATCAATCAACTCTCTTGGCTATTCAACTCTCTTGGCTATTTCTATGCCTCATTTAAGCTTGTTTGATGAAATCAGGCAGGAACACAAACAGTCCAAAGAAATTCAGCAGCGGATATCTGCAGTCGTCAACAAGTCCATTTCAGAAAAATGGGTCTTTAAGGATGGGTTACTCTTCTACAACAACAGGGTTTACCTCCCTCAAAATTTCCCTTCCATTCAACTGGTCCTTGCTGCCCTCCACAACCAAGGCCATGAAGGTTATCAGAAAACCCTATATCGCATCACCAAAGATTTTCACTGGAGCGGAATGAAACAAATGGTGCGGGACTTTGTGCGTTCTTGTGATACATGTCAAAGGCATAAAATAGAAACCTTACAACCAGCCGGGCTCCTTCTTCCCTTGTCGGTTCCCACTCAAATATGGGCAAACATATCACTTGATTTCATCGAAGGGATTCCAACTTCGCGAGGAAAAATCGTGCTATTGGTTGTAGTTGATCGCTTCTCCAAATACGGTCATTTTCTGGCTTTATCACATCCATACTCTGCTGTGAGTGTCGCACGCACTTTCTTTGACAATATTTTCAAGTTACATGGGTTGCCGGAAACCATTATTAGTGCCAGGGATGTGACTTTCACCAGCACCTTTTGGAGGGAACTATTCCAACTGAGTGGTACTAAACTGTGCTTCAGTTCTTCTTACCATCCCCAGTCCGATGGTCAAACGGAGGTCGTCAATCGTACTATTGAGATGTACCTTCGGTGCTTCACTAGTTCAGCTCCAAACAAGTGGATAGACTGGTTATCTTGGGCGATAACTGGTATCTTGGGCCGAATACCTGTCTACAAAACAAGTGGATAGACTGGTTATCTTGGGCCGAATACTGTTACAACACCAGCTACCATTCCTCTTTGAAATCTACTCCGTTTGAAACGGTTTATGGACGTCCTCCTCCACGTTTGCTGTCTTACTTGCTTGGAAGTTCAACCATTCAAGCTGTGGATGTTGTTCTTCTTCACAGGGATGAGATACTACAACAACTTCGAGACAACTTGATCTATGCTCAACAGAAAATGAAATCCACCTACGATCAGTCCCATCGCCCCTTGGAGTTTCAGGTGGGAGATATGGTTTTGCTGCGTCTGAAACCTTACAAACAGCAGTCCATTGCTAAACGGAGCAATCAAAAACTTTCGGCCAGGTTCTATGGCCCCTTTAAAATTCTGGAGCGCATTGGCCCTATGGCATACAGACTTGATCTTCCGGCTGATTCTAAACTGCACCCTGTCTTCCATGTTCCATGTCTCACATCTCAAGGCCTATCATGCTGGGTAGTCTTCTCCAGTCTCGGTTCTGCCATTCATTCCACAAGAGGACCCAATCACTCCATTGGTTGTACTGGACTATCGTTTCAAAGGCGGAATTCCAGAAGTTTTGATCCATTGGCGCAATTCCTCACCTGCCGATGCTTCTTGGGTGACAGTTCAAGACATCCACACCCGCTTTCCATATTTTAAGCTTGCGGACAAGCTTCCTCAGGGGGAGGGAAGTAATGTTAGCAGTCAACTGAAGGTCTACCACGCAGGCCTAAGCCCCCACATATTGAGCTGTTGAATTAGTCATTCAAATTCTATTTTGCATTTCTGTTTATTTCCTGTTATGTAGGAGGTAGTTCCTCCACTTTCTTTATTCATGCAGTAGTGGGAGGGTGATCCTCCACTTAGGATTCTGCTCCTTGATTGTAGGAAAAGTTAGTCTGCTATTTGTGTATATATTCAGCAGAACTCATGAAATAGGATATGATTTAACCCAAAATTTTATTAAAAAGTTTCCTTTTTTGTAAGGTCACAGTCTCCTTTGACGGTTCTGTAAGATTCCTTTGACGAGTCTGTAGATTTCTGAACTTCCACCATAGGTCGTTCAAGGAAAACCCCTAGCCTAAACACCCAAACACCAACTTCCAACCGACCCATAACTCGATCCATAAGTAGGGACTCTACCATATAGATAACCATATAACTTCTAAGCCTTGGGATGATGGAAATAAAACCAAAACTTGATCTGTTAGAAAAAAGAAAAAGAAATATAAGTGCAGTATATTTAAGTTATCTGCATGATGCTATTTAGATATTTAATAGCACAACTCTATTGTGATATATTAGTATTTTCTCACTTGATAATCCTTATCAGGTTAGTGGCCTGTGTTGGCATTTTTTTTTCACTTAGCAATTGATATAAACACTCCTACAACAAACTTATTATTTTACGATCATTGATGGATAAAAGAAATAATTTTTTATATAGGTTAGAGGCCTGTGCCTTGGCATTTTTTTTAATGCTTTTTATTGGCTCAAGATTCAATTCTATCTTGAGATTTTGATGATCATGCAAAACAAATAAATTTAATATTTTTATTTGTGTTAATACTATTTTTGCAGATTTATTTATTTTTTAAATATGGTAATTGATAAAGAAGGTAAATTTCTACAAGTCCAAGATTAATTGAAGACCATAAAGACTAGTGAAGATTTTTAGTGGCTAGTATTTTAAGATTTATTGTAGGATAGAGAGAATATTCTTTTATAAGCACAAAAATATTTCTTCTCTCTGTCAAAAATAACTTTCGAAAATTTCTTTAAATAATAAAAGTCAAATCATGATATTTTTGATTTACTTTCCTAAAATGAAAAAGATTTTGTCTTAATTATTTTTGGTAACAAAATATTTGAAAAAAATTTCTGTATCTTTTTATTTTTGGAAATTGTTTTATAAATAAAGTCCAAAATCTTGCTTTTTTCACTTAACTTAAAAGAAAAAATTTTGACTTAAAACATTTTTTGCAACAAGATCTCCGAATCTTTCATCTTTGAAAAGTCAAAATTTTTCTTTAAAAGCTAAATATTACGCTTTCTAAAATGAGATCTTTATCCCTCTATAAAAGGTGTCTTCCTCTTGTGAAGACGTGGGTAATTTGATTTTCAAAGAGTAAGAGTTATTTGCTTCAACGTTTTTATCTCTCAAAGCTCTCTTAACTCCCTTATTTCTTTTCGTTTTTTACCTTCATGAAATTTTTCTAAGAGGAAAGAAAGTTCTATAACAACTTCTTTTCAAAAACAGTTTTGTTCTTCGAATCAATTTTCTAATCTTGATTTCTGTTTTTCCCGTGCTTATAGTTGCATTTTTTTCTGTCTATATAGATTCTGTAATCTGTTATAGATATGTTTTTTAATTGAAAAACTTTTATGTAATAGCTTAGGTGAAAAGTTATGGTGGAATAGGTTATCAAGCGACCTTCTCCTTCAATGAGATTCTAATGCCTTGATTTGAGTTTCTGTTCTCTGCAAAAATAGAAAGGGTTGAGGTTGACTAGAACCTTTGAAAAATCTAGTGGGACAAAGAGTAGATTTAGGTGTTGACTTATTACCTTGTACCGTTGGTTTGTCTCTTACCTTTGCAAAGAGATAGCATAGTGAAGAATCTCAAGATTGAGAGTGGATGTAAGCGAGTTAGTGCCGAACCACTTTCAATGAGAATGTTTTAATGTCCTTGATTTGAGTTGTGTCTGATTTGGCTCATGCAAAAAAATTAAAGAAAGAAGAGATTGAGGTTAGACTAGAACCTTTGAAAAATCTAGTGACAAAGAAGATGATTTAAGGGTGTTGACTATTACCTTGATAACCGTTGGTGTCTCTTTACCTTTGCAAAGAGAAGCCATAGTGAAAGAATCTCAAAGATTGAGAGTTTGGATGTAAGCGAAGTAGTGACCGAACCACTATAAAAATCGCTGTGTTTATCTTTTTATTTTTTTAAAAGTTTTGCTTGATTATATTTTATTTACACAATTCTGTTATTTTTTAAGGAAAAATGCAAGTTGGTTGATGATTTTGATTTCTAATACTTGGATAGCTTTATCTTTAAATTGAACATTAGGAACTCTGAGATTTCAGTATTTGTGATTATACCAAGTTCTAAAATATGTATCTTTCTATGTGTTGCGAGCTCACTAATACACAATTTAAAATTTCAATACAGAAGTTTTCCCTAAGTCTGCCTTAAAAGTCTATATGGTGTGTGAAGGCGAGGGTTTCTAAAGGGTTCCCACCATAACCCTATCCTTTCACAGGAATCTTTTATATTTGTCTAAGTTTCTATGAAGGTAGTTCTCAAACGTAAAAACATATCCTTGTACCGTTGGTTTGTCTCTTACCTTTGCAAAGAGATAGCATAGTGAAGAATCTCAAGATTGAGAGTGGATGTAAGCGAGTTAGTGCCGAACCACTATAAATCGCTGTGTTTATCTTTTTATTTTTTAAAGTTTTGCTTGATTATATTTTATTTACACTTCTGTTAATATTTTAGAAATGCAAAGTTGTTGATGATTTTATGGTTCTATACTTGGATAAGCTTTATCTTTATTGAACATTAGAACTCTGGATTTCAGTATTGTGATTATACCAAGTTCTAATATGTTCTTCTATTTTCAGTATAAATCACAATTTAAATTTCAATCAGTTTTCTAAGTTTGCTTAAAGTTTTGTGAAGCAGTTCTAAAGTTCAATAACTATCTTTCACAGAATTTTTAATATTTGTCTAAGGTTTATGAAGTAGTTCTAAACGTAATAACTTTCCTTCATAAAGTGTTTTTGAAATTAATTAAGATTTGTGAAGCAGTTCTAATCAATAACTGTTCTTTACAAAGTTTTCTAATCTTGCATTAAGCTTTGTGAGATGTTCTAAACTTGATAACTAACTCTCACAAACGCTTTTTAATTCCACTGCAACAGAATTCTGATTTTGTTTTTAAAAGTTTTATTTTTACTTTTAGAAACTCAATTCATCCCTCTTTTGGGTTGTGCCATATATATACAAGGCCCACACTTTTGCATCTAATACTACCTACATATTTGTTTGCATGATTAAGTAGCCACATGTATACTACTAACCCAGTATTGGTTTTATTGACTTTGTAATTTATGGCCAACTTTAGTTGATTAATTAATGCAATTTTATATGGTTCAATTGCATATGTATTTAGTTCACAGATTAATTAATGCAAAGACAGCTCATTTACAGTAAAACTGTTGGATCAATTTCTTTCATTTGTCCTCTATCATTCCTGTAATCATTTTATATCTACAACAGTATTGACAAGGATAACTCAATTCCATATGCTCAAATTTTTTTGATTTCATTCAATAAAAAATATCAAGTTTACGTCAAACATAGACAAAGGCACCACGGTTGTGAAATCAGTAAGACAACCTTCTAACTACACTCTATCTATTTCCAGCTACACTCTATCTAGATCAAGCACATATAAGAGCACTTTGCTCTTATATACAAAATCTACAGTACACCCTTCAAACCAAATTCTAACTATTCCCCGATAAATTGAATAGCATAAAACCACATGCAATTGACAATGCAATGCACAACCAATATCCTCTTTGCTTATAGGTTGCTAGATCAACCCTTTGCTCATTAAGCTCCATTGAAAGAGTCTCCACTCCACCTTATTTTCCGAGACATTATCAATAGCATTCCTTGGCTTCCTTACGCTAGCCCTCAACCCATTTATAATCTAGGTTGCTCTTTCACTCATCTTCGCATCATGCCACTCAAAATAAGGACACCCATAAGGCTGTAATAAAATGAAATCAATTAAATTAATAATATTCATATCACAATAAAACCATAATTTAAACTCTCAGCCAAAGAAATTTCATTTTTATTTATTTGCATCAGTTGTAATTATTGATGGGATCCTACTCACAAATTTTGGTAGAATGACTGGTGGTACAAGTGGTGGAATAGAGGCAAGCTCAAAATAACGAGATGATAAAAAATTGAAGAATCTATTATGAGTAAGCTCAATAACTCAATTTTCCTTCCATTATCTATAATCACTGGGTCTCAATACTAATTCTTGCTGCCCTGTAGAACTAAAAAAGAAAAAAGAACGGCTTGCAAAAGAGTTAGAAGAGCTTGAATCGATTAGGAAGACGCATCTAAAGAGTCTGAAGCATCTTGGAGAATTAGTGACTTGAAAAGAAGATTCAGTATGCTGAGATTGAGAAGGTAGATATTTTCTTGACTGATATAAGTGATTTGTTTATTTTATACACATAACCTGGTCTTGTTTATGTGTTGTTTCAATTGGTATTGAAAATATACATCAATGATTTATTGAATTGAGTAGAAAAGACGGGATGAGAAAATAAATTTTGCTTCATTTACTCACTCACCTTGAAAAATTTGCAAGAATAAAACCTTCTTCCGGGATTATTTTAACTCCAAGACACCTATCGCGGCGCCTTTAGACCGCAGTTGCAAAACTTAACTTGGCCCTCATAATCGTACAGCGGTCTACCTCCATGATTTCTCCGAGATGTTAAAGAGCTTGAAAAACTATTGCTTGCACTCATCCTATGCTTTCTCTTCGTTAATTTTGCTCCACAATGATTTAGGGATTTAGGTTACAAGAAAACCAATTTAGGGATTTGGGGAATTTAGATCAAGGAAGCTCTCTCTCTCTTTACATTACTGTTGGGTTGTTATAAATGAGAAAGAAAAAAAAATTTTTTTTTTTAATATTTTTCAATTTACTTTAACAGCATGTAATACGCATAGCCAGGGAAAGTTACAAATTGGGTAATTTGAAAGCTTACACACAAGGTGATGAGATTTTTGCCAAAGGTGAATTATGGGTGAAACATATGTTGGAATCAAGTTCAGGGGCATTTTAAACCTTCTTCCATGTTTTGTGATGTTTTAAGGTATTTTGTAAAAAGGTGGTTATTTTATATAAAGTTGTTCAATTATTAAATAATTGTCACTAGGGTCTACGTAGGCTTAAGACCACCGAGATCCGTAATAAGCCTAAAACATTATATATCAATCGACAAACCTAATAGATATATCTCAAGATGACAAACCCAATTAAACAGTTCAATATAATGATAACAATCCAAACCGTTTCAAAAGCCCTAATTCAAATACAAATATCCATACTCATCGTTTACCATTTATTCAATTTTCTCGGTCCCCAATTATACTATACCTATAACAATACCATATGAGCTAGCTGGTTCATATACATCATATGCATTTATTCCATTAACATTCATTTAATGGTCAACATACCTATATCCGTATATAACAAATGACTTAATAATCTTACAACTACAGAGTTTAAATGACATCTAAGACAAAATTGGTTATCATACAACCACCAAAGTAATCAAAATAATTACTGAAAAATAAAGATTACATTTCTAGCTCTGTGGTGAAAGAAACAGAGCTTGTGTAGGAGTGGGAAGAATCTACTTCCTGGAGAAATTTAAATAAAAATTTGATGAGTTTTTCAACTGAATAATAATAAATAATAAATAATACAGGCATTCACGCGAAATGCATCCTAAAATATTAAAATAAACACACAACCAGTCAAGCATATGGCACAATATCAGCACCCATAAATAATTTCACCTTCAAATAATCAACCAAGTGGAAATTAGTCAATGGCGTCACGAAACCCCCAACGAGCTGTCCTCCTACATGCTCGCTCTCTCAAACGTGAGTACCAAGGAGTCGATCCCCCATACATGGCCGACCAGTCTAATTCTCACTTATTTTTTTTATACTCTCTTTTCTTTTCTATACTAACAGGAGGCCACCCTGTGATTTTCCTTATCATATATCATCGGTTTTCCATATTATATATCATCAGATGCACATGGAGACGCCACTTTCCCCATATATGGCCGACGGTATCGTAGACCGCCCTCACAAACTCGTAGTGACCCACTGCATCCCAATTCCACAGAAATAAGACACAACAATTTCACAGCACAATTAATCAAATAATTCATTCAACGTAATGCACTAAAGCAATCCTTAATACACAAACATAAAAGTATAATCATATATTAATAATAAAATAAAATAATAATATACATATACCCCCAACGAGCTGTCCTAAAACCTACAATGCTACGCTCTCTCAAACGTGATAGTACCAAGGAGGTCGATACGCCCCCATAAGCAATGGCTTCCGACCAGTACTATTCTCACTTATTTTTTTTATACTCTCTTTCTTTTTCTATACAATCAGGAGGGCCACCCTGTGATTTTCTTATTCATATATCATCGGTATTCCATATTAATATTATCATCAGATGCACATGGAGAACGCCATCCTTTCCCCATATAATCGGCCTGACTTTTTTCCTTACCCGGATATCAGATTTAGGACCGCACACCGTGCACAAAGCGTCCGTGTAGTGACCCGACTGGATCCCAATTGACAACGGCAGAAAAAATTGAAGACCACAACAATTTCCACAGAGCACAATTAATCGAGAAGTAATTCAGTTACAACGTTATAATGCATAAAGCAATCCTTAATACCAACAAAACATAAAGTTATAATATTCTAATAATATGTGAGATAATTAAATAGAAAATTAATGTAAGAATGTAGCATGGTAAGAGAGGTAATAGCTAAATTCTGCGCGTCTTTTATAGTGATACGATATTTCTTGTATAAAAATAAAGATATGTGTATAAAAATAATAAGTAGATAAAAAATGAAACACTAATCTTACTATCACAAACATAAAAGTATAATCATATATTAATAATAAAATAAAATAATAATATACATATAAAAGTAAATACTAAATTCTCTCTTTTATATATACATATTTCTTTATAAAATAAATGATATGTGTATATAATGATGATATGCACTATTTACTATTACTCACAGTAAGAATAGAGAAGAACCGTTAGTTTGGATTTTTGACTTGGAGGAGCAGTAGGCAACCCTGACAATCTAAAGAATTTAAGAATGCAAAGGAAGGAACTGAATCAGACAAAGGACCAATTTAAATAAAGAATTAAAGAATTAATCTAATAAATTTATCAACCTGTCTAACGGCTATAATTAGACTAAATTCTAACGAAATTTCGGCAACATCCCCCCTAAAAATTGGACTATCTATCTGTTTAAATATCAATGAAAACATACAATATTTGTCAATCACTACACATAGCCCATCCTTCGGGCAATCAATCAAATCAAATACCCCATCCTCCTTCAATAGCAATATCACCATTCAACCATAACTCGCAAATTAAAAATAACCTTCAACTTGTTCCAAACATATTACCAATCATTCTTGTTTCACATCAATATAATTAGCTTCTTTAGCTAATTATCAAATAAATAAAATCTTTTCTACACACATATTTATACAAATCTTATACCATCAAGTTAGTTAGTTTTATTAAAACTCCTTATCAAATCTTTATTTCATCATAATGTTCGAGGTATAAACATCATATTTAATCATTATTAAAACTCCATATTAGTCACTAAAAACTAATGCTTCAACTAAAGTACAATTTAATTTGCATACTTTAAGTAACCCAAATCACAACTTAAACATATAATTAAGCTCTATCAATTTTTCTCCGTCTTGACATAAAAATACAACTTCTAGATATAGCTAAAGAGTTCTATGATTGAATCGTTAATTTAGTAAGAATATATTGCTATCAAGCGATAACCAACATAAGAGTATTAAAAAAATCGATACATACATATATTCGTTTCCATGCCAATTATATAAAATGGTACGAAGTATCCAAAATAGCTGCTGCCCACCAACAATAATATAGTTTCCTAAACTTAAGCTTATACCGCATCAAGAACCTGGTTTACGACTTCACACACTCATCCGGCCAAAACACTACAATTCAAGAAATCAACTAAATTAATTGTTCCTCGCTCAAGGGCTTCAAAGTTTTCTATTAAATACCCATAATATATCCATTAGTTTTGCTCATTTCTTAATAAAATTCAATTCATAACTCATTCGAAATGGAAAAAATTCAATAATTCCTTCATAGGATATCAAAATATAGTCGCATTAGCTGTGACTTTGGACTCCATTTCGGTGAATAGAAAACTTCGAGAATTCCTCATATCTCAGATTCGGAATAGGAGCAACACTAAACACTACAATTCAAGAAATCAACTAAATTAATTGTTCCTCGCTCAAGGGCTTCAAAGTTTTCTATTAAATACCCATAATATATCCATTAGTTTTGCTCATTTCTTAATAAAATTCAATTCATAACTCATTCGAAATGGAAAAAATTCAATAATTCCTTCATAGGATATCAAGAGCTTGAACATATAGCTAACTAGCTATCTTCAACCTAAAGAATGCTTAATTCTTCACAAGGATTTATAATAAACGCAATAATCTAACCATCAATATAGGAATCACTTTATATACGAATTCAAAAAGCAAAAATTGGAAATTCCTAATCAAATTCACCTAAATAGTAGCTAGATATATATAAATTTCTGCAATGGCCCAAGTATTAGCAATAATAATTGCTGTCAGAATCATGCTACACTCATTCTTAAACTATAATCAAAGAATTCATGAAAAATATACTGAAAAGGGGTCAAAAATCAATTTACCTAGCTGTAGAATGTGTCGAAAACTGAAAATTTCCGGTTAAAATGACCGGAAATAGCTCCAATGCTCAAAACTGGTACTGTCGATGCTAACTTGGCTGGAACTGACGAGGACAGTGGCCGACAAAGCTATTAACGCCAAGAGAAGGGTCTAATCGGCCGTCTTTGGTTGATCTTGCCGGAGAATCGAAGATAGGAGCTGAAGGAGGCTGTGCCGATCGGAAGAGAACAGCTCGCCTTTGCTGCGCTAGCGGAAACAGAAAGAGAGAGAAACTGGAGGTGGAGGAGTGGTGGTCGAAGGCGCTGGGACGAGGTGGAATCGACGGTAAAGGCTGGTGTCGCCGGAGATGAGAGAGAGATCGTTGCTACCGATCGAGAGAAAAAAGAATCGCAGCATCTCCTGCGATAACTATGCTCGCCGAAAACAGAGTGGAGAAGGAGAGGTTGGTGGAGAGGCGGCGACGGTAGGAGGTGTTGGTGACGGCCGGTCCAAGTGGTGATCGGAAAAACGAAAGGGGATAGGGGAGAGGGCTGTCGGCGCTAATGGGAAGGAGAGAAAATTTGTGTCGGGACAAAATGGATATTTTCCATAATCTAGGGCTTTCTGGATGGTTCTAGGATGGTTTGGGTTTTGATTTAAGTTTGGTTTGACTCAAATCATGCGTTTTTGTTTGATTTTTCAATTGGTTTATGGGCTTCTAATGGGTTTAAATTAATTTATAGGTTTGGTTTAGTAATAAAAGTATTTGTTATTAGATTTTTGTTAAATTCAATTTAAAGGGTGGATTAGTATATATAACAAGTATTTGTTATTAGACTGTTTCTGTTTAATGAATTCACAACTGACCTTACACCATTATTATTTTTAAATTATAATAATATCCTATAATATGATTGAATCTCAGAATTAATATTTCACAATTCTTTAATATGAAAAACTTTCTGAAACATAATTTTTCAAGATCTGTTTCAATAACTACTATCTTACGATTTCCATTTTGTAAACAACAATTTTAGAAAACAATTACCAGTATGATTTCGTCGTAGGTTTGGGAAATATAACTACGTTTCATCTTGTGTTGTTGAAATTAATCTAATCCTGTTTCCTATATTTTGCTTCCCATTATACTCATTAGTTTATTTTCCTATCTCTACATTTTTTTACAAAACATAAGGACGATATACTAGTATATTCCCAAATTATATTTTTTAAAAAAACAAGGAGCACAATACCTAGTTCTATCTGAAATCCACATGGCAGTATACTGTAAAACTTTTTCGCAGTATGAATTTTAATATCTCTTTTTGTTCTTTTACTTTTGTTTCTTCGTTTTTGTTTGATTTTTCAATTGGTTTATGGGCTTCTAATGGGTTTAAATTAATTTATAGGTTTGGTTTAGTAATAAAAGTATTTGTTATTAGATTTTTGTTTAATGAATTCACAAGACCTTAACATTATTATTTTTAAATATAATAATATCCTATAATATGATTGAATAGAATTAATATTTAAATTTTTAATATGAAAAACTTTTGAAAATAATTTTTCAGATCGTTTCAATAATATATTTAGATTTCAATTTTGTAAAAAATTTTAGAAAAAATTACAGTATGATTGTGTAGTTTGGGAAATATAACTAGTTCATCTTGTGTTTTGAAAAATAATCTAATTTTTCCTATATTTTGCTTCCATTATACTATTAGTTATTTTCTATCTAATTTTTAAAAACATAGAGATATACTAGTTATATTCCTCAAATTATATTTTTAAAAACACAAGGACAAACTAGTTCTATTCTGAAATCACATGGAGTATACTGTAAATTTTTCAGTATGAATTTTAATATCTCTTTTGTTTTTTACTTTTGTTTTTGTTGTTGTTTAACAAAAAAAAATAGAAAAATTGGACAAAAGAACCTAATAGTATGACAAAAGTAAAACATAGGAAAAAAATTATATATTTCTAAAAATACATAAATGGACTAGTTGTATTTTACAAATCACAAGATAGTGCTATAATTTTTCCAAAATTTTAACTCTCGATCTATTTTGTTAAGTTTGATAATTTTTGACTTTTTACTAAGAATTAGAAAAATTATTGAATTTTTTCAATTCTAGTAAAAAAATAAAAGTAATTTACTAAATTCTTTTTAATTAATGTTTATTTAATTAAAAAATATTTAATAAAGATATTTAAATAAGAGTAAAATTAAAATAAAATAATTAATATTACTTTAAATTTTTTAAAGTGTCCTCTAAATGAAAAAATATAAAACTGTTAAATTTAAATTTAACGGGAAGAAGGAAGTTTTACTTAAATTTCATCCCATTTTAAAAAAGTTAAAGCCTTTTTGTTGTGCATAAATCGATTCCACTATAAGAAGGTTCTTTTATTAAGAAATTGTGGAAGGATCTCAACCGATCAAAGACAAGAAAAAGAAGAAAGAAGCATATAGAAAAGCATATGTTCTCACTTTATACCTCTAATTTAAAGCGTAAATAAATAACATATATTAGTATAAAATAAAAAAAGGTGGATGAAAGAAAAAAGAAAACCAAAAGGAAGAGATAAACAACCACAACACAAAAAAAGCAAATAACTTAACACCAAATAAACATACTCACACTCTCACTCTCACTCACCCACAGCCAATAGGCAGTACAGGTAGTAGAGGCCAGCTATTTTGCCTCTCTCTCGACATGGACTACACACCAACCTCTATTACTCTCTCTTCCTCGCTCTAACCCCACACATCCATTGTATTTATATAAACCCACCTCTTCTACACTTGCCTCAATCTTCTTTTATTTATGCATACGTACAAACTTCAATTTCTTTATAAAAATTCCACATTCTGTCACTAGAAATGAAAACACCGCACTATGGGAGGCTCGGACCGGCAGAGCCTGGTGGCTCCTCTCGCCATCTCGACCAACCGGAATACGCCACTTCACAACCCTCTCGTCGGAAAAAGAAGATTATTCTTCTTTCCCTCCTCTCCCTTGCCTTAATCATCGCCTCCGCAGTCTCGGCCACGCTACTAATCGGACTACGAACGCGTGCTTCGGGCCAACCAGGCCCGGCTTTGGACCGGAAACCAACCAAGGCAATATCTAAAGCTTGTAGGAAAACTCGGTTCCCGACTCTTTGTGTTAACTCGTTACTTGACTTCCCTGGTTCTACGACTGCCTCAGAAAAAGACCTCGTCCACATTTCCTTTAATATGACTTTGCAGCACTTTAGCAAAGCTCTATACCTCTCATCGGCGATCTCTTATCTCCAGATGGATACACGTGTACGGTCAGCGTATGAGGACTGCCTAGAGCTCCTTGACGATTCTGTAGACGCGCTTTCTCGTTCTCTCTCCACCGTAGCGCCGCCGATTGACGGGAACACTGGACAGATACAGTCGGCCGGTGGATCAACTGAAGACGTGGTGAATTGGCTCAGTGCCGCGTTGACTAATCAGGACACCTGTACTGAGGGATTCGCAGACTTGAATGGTGCTGTCAAAGAACAGATGACCGTTAAATTGAAAGACTTGTCCGAGTTAGTAAGTAACTGCTTGGCGATTTTTTCGGCGAGTGACGACGACGATTTCTCGGGTGTGCCGATACAGAACCGACGCAGATTGATGGTTGCCGAAATCTCGGGGAATAATGCCGATGAATTGCCGAGTTGGTTGGGAAGGAGAGAAAGGAGATTGTTGGACATGCCGGTTTCGGCGATACAAGCCGATATAATCGTTTCACAATATGGGAACGGTACGTACAAGACGATAACGGAGGCGATTAAGAAGGCTCCTGAGTATAGTAATCGGCGAACTATAATCTACGTAACGGCAGGAAGGTAAAGTTGAATAAACGAAAAGAGATTGAAAAGTTGTTGCTTTTTTATTAACTTTTTTTTCAGTGAATTGACGTAAATGCTCCTCAATACAAGTGGGAAAATTTTTAGTTACTCTTCAGCACAAGCTTCCAATTGCTTTAATCGACTTCGTTACATCAATCATGGAAAAATGCAATAATGTGAACAGATATTATTCACGTGAGATCTGAGACAGTTAACATAGTTGGGTAGTAATTTAAAATTACTAATTTTAAAAATTAGGTTTTGAATAATTATTTTTAAAAATGCTTAATTACCTTTTTTTTTCCTTTTATTTATATAGGGGGAACGAATATGCTGTTAGTCTAATTATCTTAATTAATATTTTTAATGTGATGGATTGGTAAATCAATTTATGGAATTAATTGATTAATCAAATAATTGGATGTTTTAATTTTAAATCTAATAAATTATTCAAATTATCTACATCTATCCAAATTGTGTGCATATGATTGATTGTTTAGTTCGAATTAATACGTTAAAAATTATAATGTATATATACATAGATGAAATTGAGTAATTTGCAGGTACGAAGAGAAAATCTTGAAAGTGGGAAGGAAAAAGAGGAATTTGATGTTCATCGGAGATGGGAAGGGCAAAACAATAATTTCGGGTGGAAAAAGCATTTTCGATAACATAACAACATTCCACACTGCCACCTTCGGTAAAAATTCTCTTTTACCCTTGTCTTAGTCACTGTCTTATCGTTTTCAACTTTAATATTATGGGGCATATCATGATCTTGCATGAAACTTATATTGCTGGACTTGCACGTGGCTTGCCAAACTACTTGTTTCTTGTTTTTCTTTTTCCTTTTATTTTAACTATTATTTAACACGTAGTCGGACATGCCATCCCATGTCATGAGATTCCTTTTAATTTATATCTATTTTTACCAAATTTCTCGTTCATTTCGGAATTTTTTAATATAATTCACCCAATAAGCAACAATTTATATCACAATATTAAATTGAATTATAAATATTTTACTCTATAAAATTATATTTGTTACACATTTTCAATTTATAAAATCACATTTATTAAATAAAATTTTATACTTTTAATTTTATAAACTATTCAATATATGTAATTTTACAAATTAAAATAAATATAATTAATTTTATAAATTGTGAGGTTTAATAAATTAAAACAAAAAATTTAGGTGCTAATTTGTATAATTGCCGAATAAATTTACATGGTAACATCCAATGGAATGACTTTTACGCAATGTTGTGTATATATTTTTTATTTAAATTCAAACCATGCATGTGATGGTGATGCATCTATATATATATAATAAATTCATATCTAACCTTCACATGTATTAATTGTAGTGCATATATTTTTTTTATTTTACTTTTTTGTTGTTTCTTGAATTAAGAAGACAGAATAATAATGATATATATATAAAAATAGTCAGTCAATTAATCCAGGAATTAAAAATATAATAAATAAATATTTTCTATAATTATGATATATTAAAAATAGAACAAAATATAATATCTATTAAATCTAATTAATTAAGTGAATGTTGACATGAGATGAGGAGACAGAGAAATTATGCTCTTTAAGAGCAACAAAAATGTTCCTATTCTATGCGTAAATAAGACTGCAAATAATGCACTCATTGTCAAATAGACTATAAAGTCCTCCTTTTTAATATTATTGGGTAATAGAGTTCTAAGTTCAATTGATGGCTAAAAGTAGAAATACATTATTGGAGGGAGGTGTGGGCCCTTCACATGACTAATGGCTATACTCTTGGAAGTTATCGCAATTGCTTACTCATCTTATCATTCGTTGCATTAATTCTCTCTCTTTCTTTGTTTTCTTTCTTTGTTTTCTTAATACACTGTCTTTTGACATATATATCAAAATATATATCAATGGATCTAGAACTTGGCCTTGCCACATTATTGTACTTTTGAACTTCTCAATTGAAATTTAATTTTTTTTTAAATATACCAATTCGAACCTCTATTTTTAGAATTTAAATTGAAATTTAAAGTTTTTTAACGGCCTCTAAGTTTTAAAATTTAATTATGTAACCACTCAATTTTATTTTTCATTACACTACTTGATTCTTTATTAAATGAATTAAATAGTACATTAAAGACAATCATTATAATTAAATTTGGGTTTTAATTAGTACATTTGAGCATGATTGTCAAATTTACACTTATAAACACTCTGTTCGGTAGCAACTTTTTAAGTAGCTTAGCGTTTTGACTATTATTTTTTATATTATTTAGTAACATAGCGTTTAAATTAACTTTTAGAGATTAAAGTATCGTTTTATGAAAAGTTAATTCATGTAAATTTAACTTTTTAGCATTTTATGAAAAAATTAATCAAACACTAATAATACACGCTATTAAAATAGCTATCAGCTATCAACTGCCAAATAAGCTAATTTGTCGGACATACACGAGATGTTTTCCGATTCATGCACTTGAAATATGTATCCAGTACAGATAATAACAACATTTTACTATCCACTAATAGAAGTTTAGGCATAACAGTAGCATAACTGTAGTTGTTAAATCAAATCAATCAATTGTTGTTCTGATTGTGAATTTGGTATCCACAGCTGCAACTGGAGCTGGATTTATTGCTCGTGACATGACATTTGAGAATTGGGCTGGTCCATCTAAGCATCAGGCGGTTGCTCTCAGAATCGGTGCAGATCATGCGGTTGTGTATCGGTGCAACATTATTGGGTACCAAGACACACTCTATGTGCATTCAAATCGCCAATTCTTTCGAGAATGTGATATTTATGGCACCGTAGACTTTATATTTGGCAATGCAGCTGTAGTCTTTCAAAACTGCAGCATTTATGCCCGAAAGCCCATGGCTTTCCAGAAAAACACTATAACTGCCCAAAATCGTAAAGATCCTAATCAAAATACGGGCATATCCATCCATGCTTGTCGGATCCTCGCCACCTCCGATCTTGAAGCATCCAAAGGTAGCTTCCCGACATATCTTGGCCGTCCGTGGAAATTATACTCTAGAGTTGTCTACATGTTATCGTACATGGGTGATCACATTCATCCAAGAGGGTGGCTAGAGTGGAATACAACATTTGCACTTGATACATTATACTATGGTGAGTACATGAACGATGGGCCGGGCGGGGCGCTTGGGCAACGGGTGAAATGGCCGGGTTATCGGGTCATCACATCAACTGTTGAAGCAAGTAAGTTCACCGTAGCAGAATTTATTTATGGATCATCGTGGTTGCCTTCAACTGGAGTGGCATTTTTAGCTGGGCTATCAGTTTAAGCAACACCTTGTAACATAAAATTAAAAACAATTATAAAGTCTCCTACCATGTCTTTAATAATTGAATGCAAGTATAATTTTTCTATTCTATTTTTTTGCATAATTTTAATAACCATCATGTAACTGTGATTGTTCCTTTCTCATATAGATGTAACCCATAAGATGCTATACAAAGTTAATGAAATGTTCTCTCTCTTTGTTGATTCAATCAATAACTGCAATTTGAATTGATAGAATGTAAAATCTATGTTTGGATTATGAAGTAAGATTTTTCTTCCGTTTAAAATAATGAAATTGAAATTATAATGAAATTTATATAAAAGGAATTCTCTCTCGTCAATATGAATCAGAATTTAATTAATTGATTTAAACTTTTAGTACTAAATAGTAATTCATCTTTTATGATTTTAAATGTGTTCGGCAATAATTTTTTAAATAATTAGTCAAAATGTTAAGCGTTATTTTTCATAACATAGCGATTGAACTAATTTTTAAAAATTAAAATAACATTTTATAAAAAATTATCTTTTATAATTTTTAGCACGGTAAAACTACTCTAACTGTTAAAATAAATTAAAACAGCTAATAACTTTTATAATAACACATGGTTAAAAAGAACTTATTTTCACGATTTGACGTGTGGATTGCAACTTTGGTCATCACATACGTGGAAGTAACAATGTGAGGACAAAATTGTAATAGCATCAATTGACTTTAAAACAGTGGATTCTTGTGGATTGTAGGTGGTGGTAATGCTGTAACTCTTTATTATATAGAACGTGAGGTGTCGGTGGATTGACGGAGAATTAAATGTTAAAACCAACTAAGTGGTGACCCACATTCGTAGAATGAAGGCTAAGCCCAACTGTTTTCAACTTGGTTTAAGGGCCCAGCCCCCAATTTTGTCTTCCACCGACACCTCTGGGACCTACTTGGACTTATGATCTAAGTGGATTCATAACCAGACGGCGGCTAGTCTTTCAAAATTCTTGAATTCGATTCCCAAAAAATGTTTCACTATGGGCCTATTATTAGTGCTATTTTATCTTTTGTTTTTCCCCAATACTCTTGTTTATGCTAAATATTTTTTGAATTATATATATATTGGCTAATGCTGTAACTCTTTTATTCATATAGCTACACGTTGCAGGTGTCGGCTGCGATTGGACGGAGAATTTAAATGTTAACAAACACCAACTTACAGTGGTTGACCCACATTTTCGCCTAGAATGAGGCCTAAGCCCAACTGTTTCAAACTTGCGTTTTAAGGGCCCAGCCCCCAAATTTTGTCTTCCACCTACACCTCTGGGACCCTACTTTGCGGACTTCATGATTCTAATGTGGATTTTCATAACCAGACGGCGGCTAGTCTTTCAAAAATTTCTTGCAATTCGATTCCCAAAAAAGTCGTCTTCACTATTGGGCCTATTGCATTTAGTGCTTATTTATCTTCTGTTTTCCCCAATACTTCTGTCTTATGCTAAATATTTTTTTTGAATCATATATATATATAATATATATTAATACTATATTACAGTCTCAAACCCAAAGAGAAAGTTGCTTTCTCCATTTCAACCATTTCTATTTTTCTTTTTTTTTAAAAAAACATCTTTTTCTACTTTGAATTATATATATATATATATATATATATATATAAGTTCAAACAAAGAGAAAGTTGCTTTCTCCATTCAACATTTTATTTTTCTTTTTTAAAAAAATTTTTGACATTTTTTTTATTTTTCTGTATTATGATTGAACAACTTAAGTATTTTAATTAATAATTAACTATAAATCATCCATTATTGAAGTCACTAAACTATATTTATATATAACCATCTATCTAAAGCACGTTATTTGAATTCTTTAAATTATAAACTACTTACAATTTAGCTGAAGTTTTAAATTGAAACACAAATTATAGTTTGTGTATAACACTACTCCTTGGATCTATATATATATTATATATATATATATGAAAGTTGAAACAAAGAGAAGATTCAAGTTATTTTCTTTGTTTAGCATTTAATTTTTCTTTTTTTAGAGAATTTGAAATTTTCTTTTTTTTTTTATTTTAATTGGTTGTTTCAATTTAATATTTAGTACATAATATGAATAATTGTTAACTTTTTTGAAAACTATTGTAATCTAATCATCTAACCTAATCCAACTTTTTTCTGTATTTTGATTAGCCGCATAGTAATATTTAATTAATTTAATATTAAATATCTTAATGATTATTTTGAAATTAAATCATATCAATATTTGTTTGTATCTAATCAATATCTATATTCATTTATAAATATCTCCAAAATCCTTATCTTCATTTAAATCTGCATCAAAAGTCAATATACATCCCCTCTACATACGAGGATGGCGTGCAAAGAGGAGGAGAATGCCAAATAGATCATTTATTTTATTCAAATTTTGTCTTCTTGAATGCGTTTTATTAAACTCACGATTTATATTTGCTTTTAGCTTTATTTTCATAATCAACTGACAGTTTTTATTTGCTTTTGAAGGGAATTACATAGAAATGCTAGACTCACTTCAAGCACGAGAATGCCAATCAACTGTAATGGTAGCTCAACCAAGGACTCTCAAAGCACTTTTTCTAGCACTTATGCCCACCAACGCAACAAAGAAAGCCTTTTTGGTACGAGATTGCAACCAGAGTCTATCTTGATTCAAAGAGTTTAGGAATAGCAAGCAAACAGAACTTCACATACCAAATTTATTGTAGCCAGAAATAGTTCCTCAGAAGCTAGGAGGGTAAAAAAATTAAATGAGCTATCATCGTATACTCGTATAAATAAAAATATTAAAGAACTAGAGTGATTTATCTCGGGCTTACTTGGAGAGGAATGACTTTGGTAAAGAAGCGTAGCAACATTGTAAAGAAGAATACATTCAAGATTTTTATTTATTTATTTATTGTTTTTTACATTTACTGATTTAAATTTAATAGTGCAATTTTCATGTAATTAAAATTAGATCAAAAGCTTTACTGCAATTATTTTGAGGATTCAGAATTACTCCAAATTATTCAAGAATAGTGGCGTTGGATTTCTCGACCTTTTACCTTAGGATTAGTCAGTTCTCTTTTTCGATGGGGTTCTTTTAATCACAATATCTACATATATCAGGACAATGCAAATGAAAAGTATGATGGTAGTAGATTCCATCAATTGACATTGATAGTCTTGCAATTGTTTAAACTTTTTTTATAGAAAACTGGTAATTGATTTCAATAAATTAGATGTTTTAATTATTATTCTTTTTTAATTATAATTGTATCTCAATATTTAACTTATAAATGATTATTTTTTATAATTATATATTTAAAAATTAAATTCAAATTCATAATCTTTATAGATAGAATATACAAATCTTTGAAAGCTCAAAATTTTTTAAATCTCAGATAATTTGATTTTTGAACATTTAAATAACTAAAGGTTAGATATTATTATTAATTAAAATTTTGTTTAAAATATTTCAATTATTAGTTTATTTCAAGTTTTTTAAATCAACAACTTTTTAAAAATAATAACATAATTCATAATAATATTTACTTTTCACGATAATATTTATTTAAAAAATATAAACAACCGCGCGCGAAACGCGGAATATCGACTAGTGATTTTATATATTGTTGAATTTTTTCTTGAAAACTACCCAATAGTAATGGGAAGCTTTTCTACTGCAGGTCCTCTATTAGGTCTTACAAATTATTCAAGGCCTGACAGTCTCTCTCTTAGATCGGATAGTAGCACAAATGTAAAATAACTACCAAACTAATTATTTCTTATTCTTTATCTGCATCTAATATATCAATATCTGTACACTTCATACTACTAATTTGATTTTACTAATTGCTTCTACAGATTGCAATCTGAATAGAGTAGCGGTCCCATAAGAATGGTGAAGAGTTGGAAGCAGAGCCTTCTTTGCTGTAGATTCTGAATGCTTTTGTTTTGCTCATAGCTTGAAGTAAAAAAAAATATATATATACACACCATTAATTAATACAATTTACTAATGATTTAGGGAGTAGTACAAAATATACATATTTCTATTTTCTCTTGCTTGGAATGTACATGTGCAGTAGGTTTCTTGCATGCAAGTTGAAATATAAGCAAATATCTTTTAGTTTTGTTATTTTTTTTTAATCTAACCCATCCTATATTTATTTTTTTAGGAAATCTATTTGTCCTTTTCTTCTTTCTTTTTTTTCAATTCTTTATATTTGTTCATATTATGTAGAATTTCCTTTCTATTAATTAATTAAATGCAAATATGCAAAGATTGTGTTTGTTATTTCAATAGTCATGTTAAAATTAAAGATGTCATTTTTGTACTAGCGCGGACCTCAGTCCCCTTCTCCCTCCCATTCTTGATTTCCCAATGGCCACCCTAGGCAACCATCACCGACTCCTCCTAACGCCAGCGTTGATCTCTGTGGCTCCCTCTCCCTCTCTTTCCAATCGATTTCAGCGCAAGTCAAAGGGAAGCAGGGGCACTGTAATCGCAAGTCGAGCTCCACCTGCGATTCCGATCACCTGAGCTCGAGTCGCGCCAACCAGAGCTTGTTGTCGTGTCATCTCTCCGCCATTCGCTTCCCTCTCTCCTTCTCTTCCGGCAAGCGCAGCAAGGGTAAGCTGCAATTCTTCTTCAGTCGGCAGCTTCCTTCAATGCTGCCCTTTTGGTATGGAAAGAAAAGAGAGTATAAAAAAAATGAGAGGCTAGTTAAGTGAGGATTAGACCGGTCGGCCATGTATGGGGATCGGCCCCCTAGTGCACATGTCATGAGAGGATGGCCACATGTGAGGACGGCTCATCGGGGGTTTTGGTGATGCTATTGACCAATTTTCACTTGTTTGATTATTTGAAGGTGTAATTACATGTGTTGCTGATGTTCTGCCATATGCTTGACTAGTCTTGTGTTCATTTTAGTACTTTAGGAAGCATTGGACGGACTTCATCGGGGTTTTTGGTGATGCTATGACCAATTTTCAACTTGTTTGGATTATTTGAAGGTTTGACTGTAATACATGTGTTGCTGATGTTCTGCCATATGGCTTGACTGTAGTCTTGTGGTTCATTTTATACTTTGGAATGCATTTCGTGATGAATGAGCATGTGTTATGCAATAATTTTTTAGGAAGCATTTCGTGTGAATGCATGTGTTATGCAATAATTACTGTTCATTATTAAACTCACATTTCTTTTGTTTAACTTTTCCAGGAAGTAGATAATTCTTTGTCTCGGTTAACGCTCTGTATTTTTCACGGCAGAGCTAGAAAAGAAATTTCCTAATTTCAGTAATTATTTTATCATGCAGTTATATGTACGAGAATTTGTTTATAATTATTTGTTAGTGAACTCTGCAATTGTAGGACTGTAACCTACAAATGTATGAGGATGTTTAGTTATTTGTTTACATAAATACATGAATCTGTTAGCCCACATTAAGAATGTTTTGTATTATAATTACACAATCTGTTAGCCCACATTAGTGTTTTGTATTATAATTGGGCTCGAGCTATAAAATGTATAAGATGCTAGATTTGGGTCAAAGTATAATATAATTATGAGATTTATTATGCATAACAATATGGGCTGAATGTTTGAAATTCATATTGATATAGTTAAATTTTAGTGGTTAAGGCTTACTACGGTCTTCGGGAGTTTTATACTTACCTGGGCCCTAGTGTTGGTCCCGCCCATGATTTCGGGTCATGACACATACATGTGCTTTGAACACATAATTTTATTATAAATGTTTTATATATTGATCTGTTTTGGGTTAATGTTGTGATATAGAGAAGGTAATTTTGTCACTTGATAACATTATTGTGAATTTAATGTAATATATCGATTTTTCTTGACATATTGCTTTGGATTTTCATATGTTGTATGAAACAATTATAAATTTTATGAAAAAATGTTCTATATAAATTATTGTAAATCTAATATAAATTTATAAAATTATTAATTATATAAATTTACTCACTGCAAAATGCATTTCCCGCGGCATTGCGCGGGCCCAAAGGCCCAAAGACTAGTTATGCTCTAAAGTATGGTGAAATTTTCTAATTTTATAATTTAAACTTAAATTTTCTAATTGATAATTATAAAATTTCCTTAACATTATTGGATTTACTGTCAGATTTCAGTTTGTGGGGTGTACGAATATCCAATGTTCTAATTTTCAACTCAAGCAAGGAATAAGGACTTTTCTTGAAAAATTCATTTTGATGTATTATTTGGTTGTTTTTTTTCCTTTTTTTTCTTTATTTTTTGTTTGAATAATCCTCCATCTACTCTTTAAATTTGATCGTATTATATAATTTATTAAAATTAAAAAATTAAAACAAAGAAGTTTAACTTCAAATTATAATGAGAACTCTTGTTTGAAAAAGTAAGTATGAGATTCCTAAATTACAATTATGTTAATATTTTGATCTTTCCATTCAAAATCGCTTATTTTCGTTGTCAATTGATTGGGAAAATAAGAAATTGACTTTGTATAAAAAAAAAAGATTTGAAAGTGAAAAAAAAAAAAAACAAATTAACCCCTAAACTGTGGTTTAACTGATCGTGAGGTTCCTAATTTATGATTTCTTGAATACTTTAGTCAACATGTTTTGGACGGAAAGACCATAGTGTTAATAAAATAATAATTTAAAGACATGATAATTAGTTTTTTGAAAATAAAAGTCCTCATATCTTTCTTTTGAAAAATTTAAAATTGATTTTTTTAAAAAAAACTTTAATTAAAAAATCAATTTTTATTAAACAAATGCAGGCATTAATTCATTAAATAATAAAAAAATTATTGACTTTTTTTCTTATTATTTATTTTAGGTTCCGTTTGTTTTTGTAAAATAACTTGTAGGAAAATATTTTTCACAATTTTTTGTTTTTTAAGGCGTTTAGGAAAATAAGACAACATAAAATATTTTTCTGGTAAAAAAAAAATTAAGACATCTTAAGGAAAACAATTTCTCATTTTCGAGAGAGAAACATTTTCCAGACATTTACAAACCTTATAAATCCATATTTTTTTAATTTATTAATCATCATAATCATTACCACGTGGCTACCACCACTAGCTACTACCACCGTCCACCACTACCGACTACCGGCCACTGGCGGCTTTCATAATTTATATATATATTTGTTTGCATTTTTTTCATATTTACAATAAAATTTTTAAATTATAAAATTTCACTGGCGGCTTTCATAATTTATTATATTTATATTTGGCCACTGGCGGCTTTCATAATTTATATATATATTTGTTTGCATTTTTTTCATATTTACAATAAAATTTTTAAATTATAAAATTTCTATTATTTAATATCTTTATGGTCTTATGATATAATATTTAATATTTTTAACTAATTTCTAATATTACAACCAAATAACGGAGAATAAATTATTTGAAAAATACTTTTTAAGAAAAATATTTTTCATAAAAATATTTTTTATCAAGTTATTTTACGAAAATAAACGGAGTCTTAGTAATTAAAAATTTAAAATTAAATCGAATAAATATTTCAGTTACAAGTTGATTAAATTGAAGATGCAAACTGGGTTTCATTGGCTTCTGATTTCTAAATCGCGGTGCCCCAAATCCAATGTACAACTCTAATCCTAATCCACTTCCATAATACAAATAATAAATAGTATATATTTGATTCCGTCCTGTATGGAAGCTTCCACCTCTCTTTGATTTAATTTGATCTGATGGGTAATTTACTCATTTTCAACATTTATTACAGTAATATTATTATTATTTTTTTAGTAATAATATTAATTAAATATTACTGTTGAAGCCAATTCTGTCTTTATCAGCCCGACCCCGCTTGTTTTTTTAACATTTTTTATATGATTATTATTTTTAATCATCTAATGGCAATCTTACGTGGAATCCTCGCTTAATCTTGTAATATTTACTTTGGTCTAATCTTGCACGCCAACGGCTTGTCTTTTTTTTTTTTTTTTTTTTTTTTTTTTTTTTTTTTTTTTTTTTTTTTTTTTTTTTTTTTTTTTTTTTTTTTGGGCAGACTTTTTGGGTCATGTTGTAGGTAAAGAAACTTATTGTATCGTCTCTCTTATTCATGGTTTGATCATACACACAGTAGAAACTGCAACTTACTTTTCTTCCACTTTATACCTCTGTGAGTGACGAATCGTGCTTTCATCGTATATGGGTTTTTGTTAAATTCAGTTTAATTTCATTAGTTGTGTGTGATTTAATTCAATTTTCTTTTTCCATTTTCTGGGTTTTTTTTCTCTTGGTTTTCTGTTGTTATAGACCTGCAATTGTTGATTAATGGCGGAATTGGTGGGTCCACGGTTGTACAGCTGTTGTAATTGTCGAAACCATGTTTCTCTTCATGATGATATTATTTCCAAGGCTTTTCAGGTGAAGGAGCTTCAATCCCTGAAATCATTTTAATGATAATATGTCTTCCTTTTTTTTTTTTTTTTTTTTTTTTTTTTTTTTCTTCAGAAAAAAAGTCTTAATATAAATCAATCAATCTTTTCTAAGGGGAAATATTCAATCAATTTGGATATGGGATTTTGTGTTTTCTGATGATTAATTGAGTAAAATGATTTTTTAGTGCTTTAATGAAACACAATTATCTTCAGGTAGGACTTTGATAGTTCGATTTCTAGTATATGTTTAAGAAAAGAAAATACTAAAAAAAGAGAAGAATTTTGCATATTTTACATTTTTTTTGAACATCTAGAGAATATTTTTCATGGTAGGAAGTTTACTAGAAGAGTGTTGTTCAAAAATGTTTTCCATAACTTTGTTGATAGGGAAGACATGGCCGAGCATTTCTGTTCTCCCACGCCATGAACATTGTTGTGGGACCTAAAGAAGATAGGCATCTCATTACTGGTCTCCACACCGTAGCTGATATCTATTGCGCTGATTGCCGTGAGGTTTTGGGTTGGAAGTATAAGCGAGCTTATGAGGCTTCTCAGAAGTACAAGGAAGGGAAATTCATATTTGAGAAGTCAAAAATTGTTAAGGAAAATTGGTAGCAACTTACTAGGATGATCCTTTGATTTATATTCTTCACAGTTTGTCAATTGTTGAGCATATAATGCTTCGTAATGGTTGTCTTGTACATAAATTCATTGTGGAATTGAAATTTGTCATTGTTTCTCATTGTGTCATATCCGAGAAGAAGGTGTACAAATTGTTAATTTTTCTGTTAATAAAATTAATTTTTCTATTTCAGTTCTATATATGTATCTCTTCTTTCTAGTGCTCCTACTTATACTACAAACCAGATTTCTTTATCCATCAACAACAAAGCAAAAATGAAAGCACCAATTTGTTGTTTGAAAAATCAGATATCAAATTAAGTTTAGGCAAGCAGTTTTTAAATTCATAAAAGAAAAAAGAAAAGAAAACAAGGTAAGTTGTGGTTCAGCACATCTGTAATTGCCAGTGCTCACACATCTATGTAGAAATCAAGATTCAGATAGTTTTTAGTTGAGCTTTTAATATAGCTCGACTCTCTTTCATAGCAGCTCTAGCTGCCTCTCAGCGACTAAGAATATCCCTGAGAGAGCTCCGAGCTTCTGCTGCCTCAAGCTCAATGGCCTGTATCTTGACATCAACTGCAGCCATTGCTTCCATCTGTTGAGCCTTTTCAGCTTCTAGATTAGCCAAATCTGTTTTCCTTTCTCGAAGTTCTACCTCAAGCTTGTCTAACAATTCTCTTGTGTCTTGAACACGGGCTTCAAGAGGAGCAAGGTACTTCTTCGCCTTTATCAGATCAACCTCAATATCAGAAACAACCCGTGTTGCCTCTGCTGATTGTTTAACGAGCTTTTCATGGCAAGATATCAATATCACATCTTGAATGTTATCTTCCAGCTCCTTCTCTGTAGTAGATAATTCCGAGCATCGAAGTATATAGGAGCTAACGGAATTGTAAATGATAGGTAATCAGCATTAAGGCCTTTAAGAGATGAGAAGGCATTATTGGCTTGCGTTACCATTGCTTCGACATTCTCTGGACTCGATGCTGTTAGGAACTTTATTAATGCATTTTGAACTGTAGGAATTGCCATTGTATAGCCTTGAACCATTTCTGCCGACAGTCCGGTCATGTCAGGTTGGGAGGACCAGAAAGAGTAGAAAGGAGATCACAGCATACTCCTTTTTTCTGCCGAGTTGATGGAATATCACTGACTTTCTTAGGAGCCCTCTTCCCTATTTTCAGTGTAGGTGATGAAGCTGTTTTATCAGCAGTCTTAGGTTTATTCTTGTCTGATTTACTGGTCAGCTGCTCTTTTATGGTATCTTCAACCTCAGGCAGTTCAGCATTCATCGTTTCCATATTATCTTCTTCTTGATTCTCTAACTTGATTGTTTTGTTTTTTCTCTTTTGCCCTGCAATGTCATTTGCCACCAACATTTCTTGACTCTTGCGTTGTTTCTTGAGGCTCTCCTCTTGAGAACTAGAGCTTGTACTCTGTGCAGTTGCACATACGTTTATTAGTAATAGTTTTACTCGCAAATAATCAAAAACACTAGAAAATTCAAGATCAGCATAAACAATCATTAAACTTATAATATAATAATAGGGAAAATTTAAGAGCAACTGGGTTCAGTATCGTCTAGATTACTGTTCCCTTTTTTTGGGTTAAATGGCTTCAACTGGGTCAAGTTCACAAATCACAACCTCATAACCCAAGAAGGATTAGTTCATCTATATTACTTTTGGGAACTGAACCACCAAGGATTGGCTTAATTTCTTTGCCGTTTTGATGCTTATTAAAAATTGCATTACTATTTTCCCCAATTTCTTACCCATTTAAAATGGTTATTATGAGGGAAAACTATAATAGACTAATTGAACAAACTAATTATGTAGAAAGTCCCAAAAATCATTACACAGCTAGACAGAAATACTCACATTTTACTCTTTCATTCATCAAGTAGCCATTTTTAAGTTCGATCTGCTTGGTTCTTGGGAAAAGGAAGGAACTTGAAAGAAAAATTACATTTTGAAGCTGAGATTTTCCTTTACAAACCCACAAGGGTAAAAGACCTTCTATCAACTAAATATGATGTGCAATCTATAGTTTCTTTTCTTTCTGTGACCCATTGTGTTCTCAGTTCAGAAACCCACAAGATCAAAAAGAATTTAAGTAAAAAAAATGAGCAAGACATGAGTTTTCTTGGAACCAAATAACATACAAGTGAAAAGGGAATGAATATGAAAAAGATTACCAAGGCAGTACTTTGGGCTTCCTTAGCCGTAAAACAGCAGTTGGAGATGCTTCAGCGGCAGCTACTTCTCTTATTAATTTGCAACTAAAGCCAGGAGGCAACTCTGGTTCACTGGACTCCATTATTGAAGCTGGAAATCTTCTCAATTTGTACGAGGACAGGAGACTTAAAACAACAGGCAATACCAGAAACAAGAACAAACCCACAATTTAATTACTCTCTAACGGATTCCAACAGCCATTTTTTAAATTTTGAGTTAGAAAAAAAAAATATCTACGTACAGAAGAAAGAAACCAACTCGAGCAGTATGGACCTATGTTAAAATTGATGATTATAGCAAGTATTCTCTTTTACTTACAGCATCAATTCTTTTCCATAACGGGAAAAAGAAAACAAACACTGTTCGTTTCTTATGACTTCTGAGGCATAGAGATAATGTACAGCTAAAGAGTATTCAATTAATATTTCCAATAGTTTTGAACCTTTGACACTGTGGCTATGCTGGATAACAAGTTTTTAAATAGTTTTTAAATTAACTTGTAGGAGTTATTATGGTAACGTTTTATAAAAAAGTTAACTTATATAATATTTAGTATTTAAGCATGAAAAATTACTTAGAGAGTTAATAGCTAAACGCCATTAAAATAGTTAACAGCTACCAAAATAGTTAATTTTGTAGGAGAGATCCTATCACAAACCAGCTATAAGTTAACCTTCAATGAACACTGTTATAGCTAATCTTAGAACCTACAAATCATGATGTTCAAATCTTTTTATACTTTATATTAATTTTTACTACTGCTTAATCCATTAGCATAGTTTGTGATTTTTTTTTCGTTATTGATATTTGCTGCTATTTGTATTACACAATATAATCTTTATATTAGTTTGATATGGTATTTTTTGTTATACAGAATCCTCTACCTATTTGAATTTTTTAATAAATTATAATTTTGTATTGTAGTAGAGTGTGTAAATTAGCTTTTAGCGTTTTAACTAAATCAAAACTCTAATTAACTGTATGGTGTAATAATATAACTGTTGTGATAGCTTCTGGGATCGAGGGAACTGATGTCTTTTTTTTTTTTTTTTTTTTTTTTTTTTTTTTTTTTTTAGCGTTTTTAACTGAAATCAAAAACTATATAATACTCATGATATATATATATAACTGTTTGTGATAGCTTCTTGGGATCGAGGGAACTTGATGTCTTTTTTTTTTTTTTTTTTTTTTTTTTTTTTGATAATAACTAATATCATTTTTGTCTATATATTTAAAACACTTATTTTTATCAAATGCCTTTCTATATTTATATAACCTTGTTTACCAAAAACTTCTTAATTTAAAACGGTATATATATCATTCAACATTATATATATATATTAATTATATATATATATATTATATATATATATAAATGGAAAGCTGAAACATAAGAAGAAGTTTAGAAAGGACCTCCCTTCTTTCATAGACTTCATTCTCTTCTCAAAATTTTTAGCGTAATCTGAGAAAAAAACTCCAATCAAAATGCTAAGAAAGTGGTAAAACATCCACCGGTCCAATTCCTAAAGAGAACCAGACGTGCGGATGCCACAATCGGTGCTGGAGCACCGTCTTATGTCACTTATTAAAAGCTTAGATCACAAAATTAAGAAGTGGTTTAGATTTCATAAGGAGGACAAGTAATTAACATTGTTTAAAAAAAAAAATATTGAAAGGAAATTTCCTACGAAAAATTTCCAAGGGTTTTCCCCTAAAAAATTTTTAAACTTGCCACACAAAGAAAATTATACACCACTTCCTAATTTTCTCTAAACCCCAAAACTTTCCAATTTCAAACCACAACATTACCACAGGCACTTCTAAATATCCATCATATAGTCATAATATTCTAAACACATTCTTTTAAAAGGAATATATAATCATTATACACCAAAATATAATAATAAGATGTTATGTCCTTATAATTAACAATAACTCGCTTAATACATTATTAACTTATTATATACAACCTCCCACAACACAATATTTATACAACACAATATTTATATACATGCCAAAATTCACCATTTACAAAATATCCTACCTAAAATGTGATATCTACTCTGATGCTACTCTTCTGGTCTTGCAGAACACCCTCCGCTCCTAACTTGCGCGTGATAAAAATCAACGCGCTGAGTGGAAGACTTAGTGATGCTAAATAACCAACAATTAAAATATCAAGAATAGCCAAGGTAAGTCTCGCAAGTGCTTTAAATTACGCAAGTATATAACTACCGAAATCGCATTAATTTATAGCAAAAATAAATTTCATTCTTTAGTTAAGGCTCGTACTCATGCAGAATGAACATAAGCAGATTTGATCGTGGCCTATGTTAGCGCCACCCCCACCCCTCACACACCAATCGTGGGCCTATGAAAAGCGCCACCCCCCCACCACCACCATCGTGGTCTATGAAAGCCACACCCCATCACACAAATAAGCGCGTTCCGGCCTGATTTTATAAGGCTGATAACCTTAGCAACCCTAGCATATGATCATAGCTTCACATAACAAAATCAATCTCATCATACCATATTTCAATCATGCATAGTAGAGCCCAAATCAAAATCATTCTTTCAAAATTCTTAAGCAAAACACTCCATTACTTAATACCCATCATTTCAAAATTTCTCAACGTACAACTTACAAAAATTACCACATTCTTTTAAAGATATCTATATAATATAGTATAAAAGTACATAAATCAAGAAATTTTCGGCATTTTCATAAACATGACCTTTGCTGTGTTCTTGAGACATAACTTGAGTTATAAGTCTCCAAATTGAGTGAAGTTAAATTCAATAGAAAGATAAGACAAAATGCTACTAATGTTATGAAGGGACCACAGCCTAGATCAATCAGAAAGATAGCAAACAAAAGTTAGGAACACAGACCAACAGATCAGACCTGATTCAGCAGAACCAAGTCCAATGTTTATTGAATTCCTACTTAACCAAACACTCAAATTAAACCAATTCAGACAAAAATTTCTAGAACGATAGAAAGGGGGGTCTTTCAAGGACACAGGGAAACAACTTTATGAAGAAACTCAAAAAACCTAAAATCTTTGGTTCATTAAGTGAGTCAAAATGGGGCAGCTCAATTTACTAATGATAGTGGGCCCGACTACAACAGAGTTCAGTTTGGGTGTTTCCAGCCATAAGTTTGAAGCTATGTATCTCCAAATTGGATTACAGAGGATGGCGTTGGAAAGCCCTAAGAAGTAGAGATTACAACTTTTTATGGAAAGACATAAGACATTTTATGAAGAACATAAGACATTATTTTGCCATTTTAGTGGTCAAAATGGACAATCATTTTGGATATACAGGTAAGACACCATAACAAAACTAGTTTTGGTATTTAAATCATAGGTTGAGCTACAAGTATTGGAATGAGACATAGGAATATGTTTTGGAAAGCTGAGAAATAGAGCTACAACTTTCATGAAGAAATCAGAAACAGATGGGAAGTATAAAGAGGTCGAAAATGATGTCCAATCCCACTTAAGAACATATCTAACATTAAAATTCATCAATTTAACCAAAACATACAAAGTTCCCAAAATACATTCAAAAAATATTTCAAAACTTAACCATGGTTAAAAAACACTTAAACAAAGTGAAAGGGAAAGAGGGAATATGATTGCACTTAACCTTTTAACAAGGCTTGAATAAGCCTTGGAAAGCCTTTATTCCTTGGCTTTCTCTTTATCCTCTTTGAGGATGGTTCTCCAACTCTTCTTCAAATGGTAGAGAAATCAACATTTAAAAAGCAAAACTTGACAAAAGAAAATTAGTTGGAGCATGATTTAATGCATCAATAACATTGTCGAAAACCATGAATTTCTACTATTAATTCATTCCAAAACTCAAAAACCACAAACTTACTTGCTTCAATGGTAAACTTTCACTTCTTCTTTGCCTTTTTAATCACCAATTCTCCAACTTCTACCTACTTTAATTTCTTAAGAATTAAGTAACTATTTCATTTGGTTTAATTAGGTAGCTGGTGCGGTAATTTGGATGGTAAGAAAAATGAAAGAAAATGAAAGAGAAGAAAGAAGAGGAAAGAATGGTTCTGCGAGAAGGAGAAGAGAAGAAAACAAAAAGTGTTGTGGTGATAACTTTAACGGTGACAAAGTCAAAATTATTGACTTCCTAATTTCATGCCAAATGTTGTGGCTCAAGATCAAAGTCCTAAGTAATCTCATCCAATGGCTCCAAAATATTCCTTCAAATAATTCAAGTCCTAAGTAATCTCATCCAATAGCTCTAAATATTCCTCAAATAATTCTCTTCTACTTATGATTTCACTCCACCAATTAATTAAATTAACTCCACTAAAATGATTCCTCATTTATTTCTTAATATACCACACTAGACATAATATTCATGAAATATTTTCTACTCGCCTAAATCATGCAAACATGCTCCAAAAAATAGTAATTAAAATATTAAATATGCATAGTAATTTTTCCGGACTAAAATAATACCAAGTCCCGGACCGATGGTACTATTCACAGACCGGTAAATCACTATTACCGACAAAAGAAAATCAGTCTTACAAAAGGAAAACAATTATCGCGCGGACTAAAATAATATCAAGTCCCGGACCGATGGTACTATTCACAGACCGGTAAATCACTATTATCGACACTAAAAGAAAATCAGTCTGTTACAGAAAGGGAAAACAATATCGCGTCGTTGGATTTAACACTGAGATTGCGCGGGATTGTAGTACTTCTCATCATCGTTCCTGATAATGGGGACAAGGTATTTCCCTAAATCTTTAACTTGCATCTTCTATATGTGTTTTAAACTTATAATTGACCACATTCTCTTGCATTATTTTCGTTATTTGAAAAGGAAGATATCCTTTACATGCTTTTTATGTTAAAGGAACAATCGATAACTTTGATTTGAAATTTTTGTGAATAATGGTGTATTATTTTTTCTTTTGTTTTGTTTTCAATGTGTAGTGAATATAGTTACATGCTTGAGATAAATTATGGTGGCATTTTCCTTAATGATGTGGCTGGGAGTGGTAAGGTATATATGGGAGGTGATGTAATTGGACATTGGGGTAGATATATATAACTTTTCAGTGGAAGGCATTAGAGATTGGTTATAAGAGGATAAAAGAAGAGAATGGAATGAGCCTGAACCCTCATTCATGATAGAAAGGGAACTAGGTTTCCACAAGATGGAAAATCATTACATTACAAGAGGATATTTACAAACTCAGACTCAATATTCATCCTATTAGTTGAAATGTTATGTGAGTTTGAGGATGAGTTGTGCATATTTGACATGTATAGGCTGCAAGAAATGAGAAGGAAAAAAGGCAAAGTGGTGTTGCCAAGAGGAAATCCAAGGAAGTCAGTGTTAGTAGAAAAACCTCCAAGAAGTGCAAGCTCACTGAGAATAACACT